AATATGTCTTAATGATTATATAAAAAGAAAAGATATTCAAAACAATAGAAACTAGAAATCTAGATTATATATATATTCAAAAAAAATAACATATCAAAGTTGTGTAATCTTCAATTAAATTAATGTTTATAAACGCTTCTAAAAAGAAAAAGGAACATGTAAAATATTTTGGTAGAATTTAATACATTATATTATACTTACAATACACGACATTTTGGTATAGTACCTTCATAAACACAACTTGTACCTGCTTGACAATTCAATGGACACCAACGATAATCATTTGGCATTATCACTTGTTCACAAAGTATACCAGTCATACCATTTTTACATATACATTTATAACCATCTTTTGTTGATATACATTGACCACTTTGACCGCATGGATTTGGATCACATGAACGTGGTCGATTCACTAAGTTTGTTTTTTTTATTAAAAACTTTTTATAAGAAATAGAAAAAACTATATATTTACTTAATTCACAATGTTCACCAAAATATGGTTTTGGACATGTACATTGAGGTCCTTGATCACTCATATAACATTCTCCACCATTTAAACATGTGAGATTTGAACAAGGTGCAGTACTTAAAGTTCGTTTGCGTGCTAAATTAAATCGCATGTTTAAACATATAAAAATCAATTAAATAACTTACTATATTGACAATAATAACCAGTAAATGCGCTTGGGCAATAACATTGTGCAGTATTTTGTGTGACAGCACAACCTCCATTATTTTGACATGGATTCGGAAGACCTTGAAGAAAAAAGATATTAATAATTAATGATCGAATAATATTGTATACAAACATGGATTAGTTGTTGTAGTTGTTGGTGTTGGACATGGACAGAGAATACAAGCACATGAAGATTGAGGAGCTGGCGTAGCTATTCGCAGTTCACAGTTACTACCCGAATTTGGATATACACATGAACACACATAAGCATTTGTAGTAGGAATGCATGCACCACCATTATAACTATATAGATTATTTTAAAAAAAAGAATAGTTCTATTATCAGTATTTTATATTACCATGGATTTGGTTGACAAAAATTACGAAGTTCACAACAACGACCATAATAACTTGATGTACATGAACAAGTGAATTCTTGAAAAAGCAATATATAAACATATTAAAATTATGATGTCTCTCTTGATATACCTGTTACACTTGTTGCCGTGCAAGTACCACCGTTAAGACAGGGATTTACAGTACATGGATTCGGTGCTGCAGTAGTTACAAGTAAAAGTTCACAGCAACGTCCAGTATATTGAGGTGGACATTGACATAGAAAACTATCGCCATATGGTAAACATACACCACCATATAAACATGGATTTGGGTCACACATACGTTGTTCACATCGAGTACCAACAAGACCAGTTGGACATATACATCGATATGTATTAATTCCGGCTATTTGGCATGTTCCACTATTTAAACATGGATTATTAAAACATGGATTTGTTGCTGCTAAAGTTAATTCACAACATGTACCACCAAAACCTGTTGGACATGCGCAAGCGAAATTAGTTTGATTAAGATAACAACTACCACCATTTCGACTATATATAAAAAGAATTGATATAATTTCAAAATAATTCAATGAATATATCTTACCAAGGATTTGGTTGACATAGATTTCGTAATGCAAGAGCTAAAAGAGAGAAAAAAAAGATATTTCGAATTATAATTGATAACTATGATAAATTCAATTTTGATTACCTGAGTTACTCTGGCAATTAGTTCCACTGAAACCACCTGCACATTGACATTGATAACTAGTTCCTGTCGGTACACATACACCTGCATTACTACAAGGATTTGTTGTACTACAACCTGTACCTATGACCGCTGCGCCAGCTTTAGATGATTAATAGAAAACAAATAAATAATGTGAGTTATCTTTAAATAATGTTTATTTCAATGAATTACTTGATATGTCACATAAGACACCTGTAAAACCTGCTACACAATTACAACGAAAACCACCACCCTGTGTAGTAACACATGAAGCTCCATTCAAACAAGGATTTGATGGACATGCAGTGCCAACAGGTGCGGGGTTAACAACTCCACCTGGAAGAGGATCTAAATTATATGGAAAAATATAAATATCAAATTTTATTCTATAGAATAAATTCTAAATACTACCTGGCGTGCCACATAAAGATCCAGTCCAGCCCGCTACACAGTCACATCTTTCAAAATTGGTACCTGATCCTGGTGCTGTCACACAGATGCCACCATTATCACACGGATTAGGATTGCAAGTAGCCCGTGTGCTGATTGCAGCTTCTTTTTATTTTTAAAAAAAAAACAATATTAATAAAGATTTTTATATTTTTTTTCATATCTTACGTGTTACTTGACATCGAACACCAATAAAACCAGATGGACATCGACAAGTAATTCTTTGACCAACAAGAACACATATACCTTCATTATAACAATATGATGAACAACCGAATTGTTTTGGTGTAACAGTAAGACCAAAATCTGATGAAAGAGATTTTTGCAAAGGTATTTCAAGTGCATTTAAATCAGCTTCAATAGTTGGATAATCATCAGTTTCACCTGGAGTACTATTTGAATTCACTGTTATTTCTATTTAATATTTATAAAAAAAAAAGAAATATTATTTTCTCTTCATAATAATAAAAACGAAATTATTTCGATAAAACTTACCAATTCGATTCTTTGAATCATTACAATCATCTACTAATTCTTTACCAACACATGTCTGTAATTCAGGTACATAAGCTGTACCCGATGCACATGTAAATAAAACTCTTAGATTATAGAAACAACGTATAAATCGTTGACAATTTGAAAGATCGCCAGCAAAATCACGGCATTGTTCTCCTTTATTAATATTACTTTATATATTAAGAAAAGTTAAAAATTTTCACTTACGTTTTAATGAACCATTAACATCTACACATTTTATAATAAGACAAACAAGAACAATTAAAAGTCGAGTATATTCGACTTTCATTTTTATTATTTTTTAATAAGAAAAAAAAATATGTGTTCTTATTATGTTGTGATTTTTATCAATTGTTAAAGCCGACTAATAGTGAGACGATAGAATTTTTGTGAGGATTGTGTTCACTATTTAAATTCATCCTCCGCTTGAATGTAGGACGATCGACATTTCAATCTATGCTCTTTGTCTTCTTCTTTTTTTGCTCATGAAAAATGTCGCCTTGTTTCGAACACCCTTCAAAATTAAACCATCTATCGTTATTCTTTTTCGTTGTACATAGAGTTATTTTACAAACAAGTACATGAGTAATATGTTAAATATTGAAATGCTCTTATCAATGTCAAATGTACATGATTCACAAGGTTAGCTATATAGTTGATATTCAAAATTAAGAAAGAAGATGTTTTTTTTTAATTGTTTTCTTCACCTTGAATGTCTTCATATACCAGACAGATTTATTTGTTATAATCTCTTTGCACATTGTTGAAATTTAAATCTATATCCTTCTTTTGTCTCTTATCTAGTTCATGGTCAATGCACCTTCAGTCTTTCCTGTTTTTTTTTTTATTTCTTTCAAATACCAACAGATTTTGTTTGCATACAAGAAAAGGTCACAACAAAATAGATTAGAAAACGAATTTGAAAGACAATTAAAAATTATTATTAACTCCAAATATCAAGAAGATAACGTCGAGATGTTTCTAATGATTGCATATATTGATCAATATTTGGTATATCTATAATAACAAACAAATATTTCGTTTTTCG